TGTGTGTGTGTGTGTGTGTGTGTGTGTGTGTGTGTGTGTGTGTGTGTGTGTGTGTGTGTGTTGTGGCAGTCACTCTCTTGCGGTAGTGATCGAGAGGTGTGCCAGAAGTACATAAAGGTTTTGTCTTGAATGCCGTTCAATTCTGGAGTGCTGTTGTTGATGTCGTGAACAGGCAAAAAAAGTCGTTGATGTGCATGATATGATCCCTTGGAGATTGGAACTTGTCGTCTGAATGCGGATGTCCATTCATGGTAGTTGGAGCCTTGCACACGCGGATGTTTGCCGGTATCCTGTTTTTTGTTGTTATCCAACCGGGGGTGTGTTCGCGGTTGCCAAACGTCCGGGCGACAGTAGGGGGACGTCGCCAGGACGAAAGCGGCTGTCCACAAGTCCCGCACCATTCACCAACCCGCAAACACTCTCCGCCCTCCTTTTTGTTTTTTTTTGTTCGATGGGGGGTGGTTGGCGGTCGAATCGTTTGAGGGGAGGGCGGGTTATGAGGGGTGGAGGGCAAGTGAGTCTCCCGCGAGTGTTCAATCCTCCTGGTAGCTAAGATGCCAGGCTGGAGGTTGGGTGGCCGTTGATGGCGACTGGTTTGGGGGCTGCCTTCTAGGCGAGGGGCTCCTTTGTAGGCGCGATTGACGAAGGGTGGCCACGATATGTGCGACGTGGTCGACGTCCCCCAATATTGTGCCCCGCAACATTTGGCCTTTCATTTCCTCGCCCGAGACAAGGCCCGTGGTAGAATGATTCAGAACGTTGGGGGATGGAGTCGTCGTTTTGCAGTCGTGAAAGGTGTCCAGTTGTCGCCCTCCACCACGCAGGGGACGTGTTTTTATAAGCTTGCGGATCCAAGAACGCAACAACAAACATCGCAGTGACCACGCGGGCCACTCAGTACTCGCCCTGTCGCCTTCTTCACTCGCTTCCTTCTCACCACGTCGCCGTCGTATTCGTCCCCGCCGTTGAATCCTTTCCCGCCGTCCACCCGCTCGTTGCGAACGCGCTCACATACGTCGCCTTCCACGCCGTCTTCGCCGCCTTACTTTCCGCACCCGCAGTCGATCCAGCCTTCGCCTTCCACGCCGTCTTCGGACTGCGCCAACGTCTTCATGTGCGCCTTCGTCGCCTTTTTCGCCATCATCGTGTTCGTCTTCAACACAGACGTCCCTTCGCCTTCCACGCCGTCTTCGGACTTCGCCGACGTC